AAAAAAAAAAAAAAAAAAAAGTAGTGTTTTGTGTGATTAAGGGCGCGGAAATAGGCTGTGATTCAGAATTGGAAGAGGGGAAGAAAAGGTCACTACAAGACGTGGTTGTATCGTTTGTGAAGGCCTTCCTTTGAGCTCCAGCTGCAAGGGTACGGCCTTGGCAGTGAGTGACTTTATTTGGTGGAAGAGTTTTTGTCCTTTGCTTAACAAATGTATCCTAGTTTAATGATGCTGTTTTCACCTCTTTTAACCCCTTTTCAATCCAACGAATCATGCTTCCCTTACTTCAAAATTAGTTCTAGAATGGAGGTTTAGAGATGAACTTCATGGGTTTTTGTTCATCATTACTGCCAATGAACTCTTTCAGATTGTTCTTACTTGAGTTTCTCCAAGAGGGTTTTCACTATCATGACACCATTTATGCTTTCAACCCATTATCATATGGGGATTATTTCATGAGATATGCTTCGGGTTTGCTTCAATGATCAAGTTCTTAAGTTCATAACTTGAATCTTATTCTTCCTCTCCAACAATCCTTATGAAATGAGAGTCGACTCATTTCTTCTGTTTGGAGTTACTTGAAGAAAGGATCATGAACCCACGAGATTTTGAGCTATTTTATGATGCCTTAGTAGGAGGGACCTGAAGAGAATGGAGTGAGAACGGAGTGTTGTGGATGGGAGCCTACGTCGGTTAGAGAGGTCAACGAAACATTTCTTATAAGAATGTGGAAACCTCTCTCTAATGGGTTTTAAAAACCGTGAGACTAACGATGATACGTAACGGATCAAAACGGATAATATCTGCTAGTGGTGGGTTTGGATTCATTTAATTATTTGTCGTTAATTTAAAGCCGGTCTTGATTTAATGAGTAGTCTTTGTTTTTGTCCTTTAATAGATTGTCTTATTTGTTAACTATACTTTTTGTCTCGTAGTTTTGGATGGTCTAATTTTCTTGTTCTTGTTCTTCTTCTAACATCAAGGCGAGGTAATACGAAAGCTATATATATTTTAGTTATAACTAATGTTTGAAATCTTCTATTGGTGATAGAACCTTGGAGATGAGCAACTATGCAAGAAGGGGGAGAGAAACCACAAGGATGTTTCAGCTCGTTGTTGTAAGAAACCATGTTTTAAGCGTTTGTCTAGACCAAAAAGGAAAAAACTAGTGAAGAAATCCAATGTAGTTGGCAGGCAACAGAGGCCATTGGCTCCACTTAGGAGCATTTTGAAGCATAGTGTCAAAGAAATTTCTGAGACAAGAGGCAGCAACCAAGCTTCCAACAATGGTGGTCAAAAGTATGGTAAGCGTGTTAGCTTCTGGGATAAGGATGATGTTCTTGGTCCAACCACTGGAGCGTTATCTGATACCTTTGAACAAAATGGCTGCAATCCTTTTCAAGCCTCAGAAGGAAGCACTAAGTCAGGCGAAAGTGATAAAGGAGTGGCTTCAATGGAGGTTGGTGTAGAAGACGACGTCGTTAGCGTTAGCCCCCGACACGACATTGATAGTCAAAGTTGGGACAATGCGAAGCATTCGACTGAAAAGTTGATATCGACAAATCGGGTTATTCCTCGTGATCAAAATGATTTGCATTTGTTTGACCATGTCTATGTAGATGCACCTCAGAAGCTGCCACCAGTGGCTTCTGCTACGCCTGCTCTATTAGCTGCTGCACAAGAAGAAAGGCAATATGGCCATGTGAGAACTCAATGTCGAGCTCATTCTCTCTATGGCTCAAATACAAGCAGAGTTCCTTCTTCTTCTTTAAGTGAAAATGCTGGTGGCAGATTTCTTAATCTGGCGCAATCTTCTGATAAGGACGCTCGATGCTCGTTTCCGAACTGGGAGCAAAGTGCGGTCGCCCACAAAGAGAAGGGTGTGAATGATGGTTTTTTCTGCCTGCCATTGAACTCAAAGGGTGAACTGATACAGCTAAATTCAGGTTTGGTTAATAGGTTTGATCAAATGAATGAAGCCAATAACACTATGGCTTGTTCTAGCAGGATACCGGTATGCAGTCTCGTCCTGCCACGACGCACCCGGGATTATTTCATAGATAACGAGAAGCTCCTTGTTGATACAGAACTTACAAGAAACCAGTTGACTTTATTTCCATTGCATAGTAATGTGCAAGAAAATCAAAACCAATATTTGTCAGCTAGATTCGACGTCACCGAGCCTGGAACTTCCGAAAGGGGAACTGAATCAGGTCGGTTTTTGCACTCGAACTTGATGGAATCTCCATTTTACAGAAGCAGATACTATGGAAGTACAGAGATTAATCCTGAAAGTTCAAGTAGCGTGTGTGCGAATCCCGCTCGACAAACGATGCGGTTGATGGGCAAAGATGTCGCTGTTGGTGAACATGGGAAAGAAGTTCAAGAACCTGAGGTTATAAACTTTTGGAAGAACTCAACTTTAATTGACAACTGCTTGACCAATCCTATCCAAGAGAATCCCATGAGAAAAAGAAACTTTCTGCAAGATAGGGAGTTGCATCATCCATCAAAAGGAGAAGCCTTGTTTTATCATCCTGCAGCCTTTCATCATCCATCGAATGCTCCACAAGTTCGGTACCCCCATCTGCACCTCAATCGAACGTATCAAAGACCCGACTCTGTCATCAACTTAAACGAAAGGTTCAACAACAACGTCCATGTTTCGACCGATGTCTTTAATAACACGGCACCGAACTTTCAAGCACCCTTCATTTCTGGTCCGGAAACGCTAAGGTTTGGTTCACAGCCATCGGCATTTTCTACTTCTTACCACATGTATCCAAATAGATATGAAAGTTGTTTCGAATTTGGTTTCGACCGGAAACTACGTCCCGAAAAACCAGGAACCTTTAACTTCCCTTTCTTGCAGCCAGATGATCATGGAAATGCTATCCAGGTCCCTTGGTTTCATAGTTCTAAGAGCCTTCCTCCATGGATGTTACATGATCACCAACGGGAAGCAGCTCCAACCACAAATGGATACTATTATCCATTTATTTCTTCTGCCACAGATGTTCTCATTAGCCCTTCTTCCATGCATCACCGGCTTGAAGCTGCCTATCCTTGCAGCACAATGCCCTATTTTCAACCAATGCCTGTTGCTCCTAGAGTACTTCAATCGCCCTCTATTGCCAACCCAGGCCATGAAACTAGAATGAGCTTTGAAGACAGATTGAAGTTCAATACTTTGAGTGTCAAGCAACCAGAGCTAGTCAATTCGAGGAAGCGTCAAAAGATGTCAAATTTAGAAACGAACAATACTAGAGAATTCAGCGATGATCAACTGCGATATAACCCGGCAACAGCGAAAATTCCTGCTAACTGGGAGAAGGCCGTTAATTTAACAGGAAATATCTCAAATGTGGCTCAAACTGATGGAGTACCGGCAAGATCAGGCCCTATCAAGTTAACAGCAGGAGCTAAACACATCCTGAAACCAAGTCAGAGTATGTATTTAGATAATACTAAGCCTACTTATTCAACAATTCCTTCTGCTGGATTAGTTCATAGTGTTAGCTTGGCTGGATCTCAGAAGAAGTCAACTAAAGTATACAGTTTTTAAAAGTAAGCATAGTACTTTGCTTAATCTAATTCTAATCTACTCATCTAATGCTGATTAGTTGAGCAAATGATCTCATCTGCATGACAGGAAGGAACCTAGCTCATCTGTGTAACCAATGACATGATCGGAGTTGTAGTTTCAAGATGACCCGTCGTTCATCAAGCAAGTTTTTCGGTACTCGAAGGCGTGTTATCTTGAACGGAAACTAGCTAATCACACCACTGGAATATAGACGCTGCTACGAGTTTGTTTCACAGTTCAAGTTCCTGTAATGAATGCGTGAGAACACAGTTATATTGGTTTTCTTGAGGGCTATAAGCTAAAAGTTAATGTAGCTAACATATGTTGACATTTGTTAAACTCATATAAGGTAGCTTGTTGAAGTGAAACGTAATAATTCTCGATATCTAGTTCGATCCTTACTACAACGGCCCAACTCCACTGCTAGCAGATATTGTCCTATTTGGGCTTTCTCTTTCGAACTTCTCCTCGAGGTTTTTAAAACGTGTGTCCTAGGGAGAGATTTTCACACCCTGTATAGAATGTTTTGTTCTTCTCTCTAACCGACGTGGGATCTCACACTTACCCTACACAATTGTTGAACTAAAGAAAAAAGTAACTAAGGATCGATATAATTCGAGTCTCTTCATATTGTCTTAAGTTTATTTGACAGCAAAATTTGTCCAATAATGAGCGAGTCACGTGAGAGCGAAGTATCAAGAAAAGAGAGAGTTCGAACTGTGTTGTACATTTTATGCACTTTGACAATCTTTTCCAATTTTCAAGCTCGAAAGATTTTCTTATCTTCGTTCTCGTCCTCTTCTTTTTCTTTCTTCTCCTCCCCGAAATCATATTTGGGTCCCTCTTCACTACTTCCAAACCCGACGACACCAACTTTATATCCCGAATCCTACCATTTTATTCTATGTTGGTCGTTTGAATAGTTTCTAGGTCGAGATCCATGATATATAAACAAGAACATCGTCTCTATCGATATAATAAACGTATGTCAAGCAAATATGACATAAGCTCAGAAAACACAAAGTTTTAACGTATAAAGCTTACACAAAATGGCATCTTCATACCATGATATGGTGCAAAACCCAGCATGTCAGCCATTGCTGATGATCTCGAGATGAAGCTCTCTCCATTGTCATCTTCGATTCATATCTGTTTCAACCCACGCAAGCATAACCAATAAGGAAACAATGTTACTGATCATTAAAACTTATATACACAAACAACCTTAAATTCCCAGGAAAAGAAAAGACATTATTAATCATGAAAATTCACGAAGTGGGTACGTACCCGATCGGTGCATGCAGAAAGTAAAAGGTGGGTCTTTCCGGAAACCCCATTTTGAAACGAACCCTGATGAGCTAAAAGCTAATTTCAACTGAAAAATGGTGAATCCATAGAAAGAAACCACAAAACAAAGGGTAATCTATGGGGGAAATGCAGAAGGAAGAAGAATAAAGCAAGGAATATTTACCATTTAAAATTCATGAAAATATATTTATTCATTATAAATTAACCTAATTTTTTTTTAAAAAGAATATAGAGTTTTAGTCACTATTTTTTTTTAATTATTTAGTAAGTTTATGTCAAATGCTTATTAATTATTATTCAAATGGAATGAAAAATATATTAACCACGTGCGTGGCAGGTGCCTATTAACTTAGAAGACTAAAAAGGTGATTTACAATTTTGATTCTTTTTTAATTTATAAAAAGAAATTTGTTGTACTGCAACTGCAAGGGTATAATTGTAATTTTACGTAATATTGCTTCGTTACTCTGACCTCCATTGCGCGCGTTCTCCCTTCTTCGCTGCACCATTAATCGTTTCCCTCGTCGATGTTTTACCGTGCACACCGCCTCTTTTCCCTCTCTTCCTCCTCACTCTCCCATTTTCTCGCCGGAAAATCAAACTGACCGCCGTTCCTCCTCCATCGCTGGAAACCTCTGCGCAGTTCAGGCGAGGCCATCCATTCACTGTATGCGCCGAAACCTTCTTCTCAATTTTCTCTCATTCGAATTGATTACTCTTTAATATTTGGTATTTAAAAAATTTGATGGAGCGGAACCCTAACTCTTGCTCCGGGTCCGACTCGGAGTGTTGTTATCCATTATGTGTTTGGCTATCCGAGATCCATAGGTTTTGAATCGGTCTTGTCGACCCGGTCAATTTTTGATATATTCGGGTCGGATAGTTTGCGGGTCCCGGCGGGAAATCTCCACTACCGATCCGGTGAGCCTGTATTGTGTTTTTCCTTGTAAAATTGACTTCAATGAAGGGCCGACCCGCAACAATTACCTTTTCTGGGTCTTGTTTCGGACCCGACGAATGACCATAGAATACGTATGAGCCTATGGCACCTCCCTAAAATACTGTAATCGCTCTCTTTTTAGTGTGAAACTTATAATAATATGAACAGATGATTGTCGGAGGAACAAATTTAATTTTCCGGAACCTTTTTGATTATTGTTCTATCATGTTTTTCATGTTGATGTTTCAAAGTGTTATCTTACTAATAGGATTTATGGTGTTTGAGCTATTCTGGGGTTGGATGGATCTACTATTGTCTTTTTTATTTCATTATGAACATGTTGATTTTCAATTAGTCAAGATTGGAAGAAATTTTATCATATTTAGTGTTCGTCTTTCTTTTTAAATCTTTTTAATCAGAATAATTATGTGGGTTTACTGTGCAGCTTTTGGTGGAAAGTCTGGCTGATGTAATGGATGTGCCGGAGGCAGTTATAGTAAAATCTAGCAGATTGAAGTCCGTTGTGTGGAACGATTTTGATAGAATAAAAAAGGGTGACACCTTTGTTGCTGTATGTAGGCATTGTAAGAAGAAACTGAGTGGATCAAGTACCAGTGGGACTTCTCATTTGAGGAATCACTTAATTAGGTGTCAGAGAAGATCTAATCATGGTATGTCTCAATTTATTTCATCCAGGGAAAAGAAAAAGGAAGCAACATTGGCTATCACTAATTATGTTGATCAGGGGCAGAAAAAAGATGATGTTCTAAATCTTGTTAATATTAGATTTGACCCAGAGCAAGTGAAAGACGAAACAAATAATACCCTGAATTACAATTTCGATCAGCGACGAAGTCGATTCGATCTTGCCCGGATGATCATCTTGCATGGTTATCCATTGGGCATGGTTGAGCATGTTGGGTTTAGAGTATTTGTTAAAAATCTGCATCCCCTGTTTGAACTTGTATCATGCAATAGAGTTGAGAGTGATTGTTTGGAAATATATGTGAAAGAGAAACAAAAAGTAAACGAATTATTGGATAAATTGCCTGGTAAAATCAGCCTCAGTGCTAATATGTGGACTGCCACAGATCATTTGGAATCGTCATATCTGTGTCTAACAGCCCACTACATTGATGAGTCCTGGCAGTTAAATAAGAAGGTTTTGAATTTTATGTTTGTTGATCCTTCTCATACTGAAGATTTGCATTCGGATGCTATCATGACTTGTCTGATGGATTGGGATATTGATAGGAAGTTGTTTTCAATGACATTTGATTGTTCCTCTAACAGTGACTATATATCATTACGAATCAGAGACAGACTATCACAGAATAGGTTTCTATATTGTAATGGTCAATTATTTGATGTTAGCTGTGCGATAGATCTTCTGAATTTGATGGCTCAAGATGCTTTGGAAGCATTATGCGACATTCTCCCTAAAATTCGTGACAGTATTCAATGTATTAAACAGTCTCGAGAAGTGCAAGCTAAGTTCAATGAGATGGCCGAGCAAGTTAAAGTTCAGAGCCAAAAGGGTCTGTCTGTGGACAATCCATCTCAGTGGAACTCGACTTATGCGATGCTCGGAGCAGCTATAGAATATCGAGAAGCATTTTCCCTTTTGCAGGAAAGTGACGTTGGCTACTCAGCATGCCCAACTGAAGAGGAATGGGGTAGGACCTGTGTGATTACAGGCTTTCTGAAGTTCTTCTTTGAAGTGACTAATATTTTAACGAAGACCAACTTTCCTACTTCAAATATATTTTTCCCTGAGCTATGTGACGTACACTTGCAGCTGATGGAATGGTCCAAGAATTCAGATGATTATGTCAAGGCCTTGGCATTCAAGATGCGGACCAAGTTTGAAGAATATTGGGATAAATGTGGGTTGGCTCTAGCAGTTTCTGCCATGTTAGATCCTCGGTTCAAAATGAAGCTTGTAGAGTACTATTATCCACAAATATATGGCGCTGTTGCTGTACAGAGGATTGATGATGTTGTGAACTGTGTGAAGGCGCTTTACAACGAACATTCGATCTGCTCGCCGTTAGCTTCAATCGATCAAGGTCTTGCCTGGCAAGTTGGTAGTAGTAGTTCAGGGAAGGATGCAAGGGACAGGTTAATGGGTTTTGACAAGTTTCTCCATGAATCCTCCCAGAGTGAAGGCAGTAAATCAGATCTGGACAAGTACCTAGAGGAGCCTTTGTTTCCTCGTAATGTTGATTTCAATGTGTTGAACTGGTGGAAGGTTCACACTCCGAGATATCCGATCTTGTCGATGATGGCTCGTAATGTGTTGGGGATTCCGATGTCGAAAGTTGCATCAGATTGTGCATTCAAGAGTGGAAGAAGGGTGGTTGATCGAGAATGGAGTTCGCTGAAACCAGCTACAATTCAAGCCTTGGTATGTTCACAGGATTGGATAAGGAGTGAACTAGAGAGCTAATTCTGACACATCACAGGTCTCTCTATATTTGTTCATTTTTGTGCATCTTCCCTCACTATTTCCCTTTGTTTCATCATCTCTGCTGTACTTCACTTGTGGCCGTCGCATCGCCTCATATGTGGTATATTTAACTCCCATTTTTAATTGCAGCTCTGTAATGGTTTCACTTCCATTGCTCTTGCTCTTAAGGAGGAAATGAGGAACTTTCCATTCCAAGTTGCAATTTCCCATATCTTCATTATATCTTTTATATATACATACATACATACACACACACATATATATATATATGTGTGTGTGTGTATGTATAAAGAATTTTGAAGTAGAATTTTGTATCAAATGGGATTCTCAAGTCTAAATTGATTTTCGAAGTAGAAAATGTTCATCGGTTCGTTTTCAATATTAGATAGAATTATTAAGCAATTATCGTAGGTTTATGTCTAGTTTATTATAACTTCGTTTAAAAAAAATGAATTTTTGAATTTTTTATTTTAGTTTTCAAACTGTCGTGAATTTTGAAAATTTTTATAAAAGGAGAAAAGAAAACAAAGAATTAAAGAAAAACAGATATAAAACTAATTTTCAGATTTTGTTTGATTGGGCTTCTTAATTTGGGCACTGAATAGAAAAGCCCAAAAGGTGTTCCGAAGTAAAGGCCACGGCGAGATGGGATGAGAGTTGAGCCCAATTCGGGCCCATTAACTTTTCAGAATGCATGGTTGGCGGGAAAATTGTTATAAGCGAGTACGTAGGTTCGCCACTGTACAGGTATGGAGTTTTCCGAGAATGATTGAAGTTCCAGGAGTTCAGTCTCTCCCGGTACGTTTTGTTGTTCATTTTTTGAAATTGAGGAGTTGTTTGTTAAGTAATGATCTGTGTTCTTCGTTTAAGTGTTGGTCTTAGAATGATTTAAGTTTCGGGCTTAAGCTTGGATGGGTTCCCCGGGGGAGAGAAATAAGATTCGCAATGGAAACAAGATTTAGTGTCTGGGGCATGCGCGAGGAAATGGGGAATTGGGATGAGGAACAAAGGGAGGTGCCGATGTGGTTGGTGGGGTTCCGTAACAGGGACACGTCTGTCATTGCCTCATTAGGGTATAATACTCATTTTCCCCCTCATTAGGGTAAACTAGATACGTGGCCATACAAATGCAACAGATATTTTCATAGGGAACTTGTGAACGTGTGAAAAGTAAAACGACTTTGCTTCAATTATTGTCTAATTTGATGGTTACCATATAAAGCATAAGATCTTACCCAATTACATTTTCTTTATCAGCTTTTAATTGCTTTCGTTTTCCATCAACATGCTACAGACCAAACAAATATGTGCACAAACTTATATCATTTAAGTTTTAACAACAAATGGTGATTGGAAAATAAGTATTAGAATCGTATCCCAGTCGTCATGTGTTCCTTATTCTAAGGATACATATTGTATTAATGTATAGGATATACACTCTGTGTGCACATGCAAAGCCCACGATTCTAGCCTTACGATAACTTAATTTGTTATGAAAGTCATGCTTCTTCCTCAACTTCAACCCCAAGATTTTGACCATCCATTCATTTAAATATAAATCAAACAGCAATGCTCATTCGTTGACTTTCAACTTGTTCCGTTAAATATGTGGCTTCTCTTCCCAACAAACATAAATCTGTGTATATGGTTCAAGAATTTAGCTGCTTTTTGCTGGCAACAATGTTCTTGTTTTTATCGGCAATCTTAATAATATCCATTATTTTTGTGTTTAGAAGCATAAAGGGAAGCAAAAAGGTACCGCCTGGGCAAATGGGTCTGCCCTGGATTGGCGAAACCATGGTTTTCTACAGAGCCCAACGTAAAAACAGGTTGTTCGAAGAGTTTGTTGGGCCTCGAGTGGCTAAATATGGCAAAATCTTCAAAACAAGCTTGATGGGGTCGCCGACGGTGGTCGTAAATGGAGCTGAAGCCAACAGATTTTTCTTGTCCAATGAGTTTAAGTTGGTGGTAAGCTCGTGGCCGTCCGCCTCTGTTCAGCTGATGGGCGAAGAATGCATCATGCAGAAGCAAGGTGAAAGCCACCGATGTGTGCGTGGCCTTATTGCCGCAAGCCTTGCCAGTTCGAGTCTCGAAGCTATGATGCCTAAATTGTGCACGACAATTCAGCTTTATTTGGACACAAAATGGCTTGGCCATGATATAATTAGTCTCTACCACTCGGCAAAAGTATTGACGTTTACCATAGTGTTTGAGTGTTTGATGGGTATCAAAGTGGAGCCACGCATGTTGACGACATTCGAGAGGGTTTTGGAAGGAGTTTTTGCTCCACCGTTCAGGTAGCTATTCAACTACACCCCTTGATTCAAAAGTTTAGGCTGATTGATAGGTTATGATAAATTTAAATCTTGTTTGATAACGATTTCATTTTTAAAATTTCCTTCCTATGATATTTTTCTTTCTTACCTTTTTAATTTCAAACTTGACTCGATTTTTGAAAGTATTAGTAGAATATGAATAGAGAAATTTATATATGAAATTTGTGTTTATAAACTTGATTTTCAAATACCAAAGATCAAATACAAATTGATATTAAATGGAACCCGAAGTTTTAATTATTTGTTCATATTCTTAACATAGCTTTCCAGGCACACGGTTTTCGAGAGCGAAGAAAGCAAGGATGGAGATAGGGAAAATGCTGAGGGAGGTGGTGAGAGAGAAGAGGAGGAGAATTGAAGAAGAGCCCGTAGAAGAAGAATGTGAGTTGTTGCTTTCAAGGATGGTGAGAGCAATGATAAGAGGGGAGATCAGTGAAGTGGAAGTGGTGGACAATGTGGTTTTGCTTGTTTTTGCAGCTCATGATACAACCTCCTTCGCCATTGCCATGACTTTCAAAATGTTGGCTCAGCAGCCAAACTGCTACTCACTTCTTCTCCAGGGTAATTTTTTTTTCTTTAATCTTGTAAATTATATGTCAGTATCATAATAAATCAAAGAGCTGGGCGCCATTTCAACTTCCTTTCTTCAAAATACCATTTTGCTGATCTGAGTGAGAAATAAGATGTGTAAATTTGAGAAGAGAAGCCTCTTTACTTCTTGACAGAACATGCTGACATAGTGAGAAGCAAGGGAGCAGGCCAGAATATGACGATGGAAGATATAAAGAAGATGAAATATACTTGGCAGGTAGCTCGTGAGAGCATTCGACTGTTTCCTCCTATATTTGGTTCATTCAGGAAAGCCATTACAGACATTGAATATGAGGGATTTTTCATTCCCAAGGGATGGAAGGTGAAAATTTCCATCAATTCTTCTGCTTCTTCTTTACTACTGATACCCTGCAGAGTCAAATTGTAGTCCAGAAATGACCATCGTTTTACCTTGAATCATTTTGGTTGCGTGCAGGTCTTGTGGACGACGTATGGAACGCATCTCGAAGACAAGTATTTTGAAGATCCATTGAGTTTCAAGCCAAGCAGATTTGAGGAGCCTGTTTCCCAGTATGTCTATGTTCCATTTGGAGGAGGGCCAAGAGCTTGTGCAGGCTACCAGCTGGCGAAATTGAACATCCTCATCTTTATACACTTGGTTGTAACTCGTTATGATTGGAGTTTAGTCCACCCAGATGAGACAATCATAATGGATCCCCTCCCTATCCCTTCTCATGGAATGCCAATTAAGATTTCTCCAAAATCAGAAGCTCGCCCCAATGTTCAGCAAATGTAAGCTCATAAGAGAACAAAGACGATGCACTTAAAGAGGATGTAAAACCTCTAGATATCAGACATAGTATACATAATTGTGATTCTTTCCAACAGCAGAGATAAAGATCTCATAAAAGGAAAACCCTTTCTACATTTCACTATTGTTGCCGATCCAAGAATACAGTCTACTATATTTTAACTCAGGTGTATAACCAATAGCTAATGTAATATACGGCCAGTGGACAAAAAGAGTGATTCTTCAGTTTTTCATGATATCTACCGGGCAAAATTTTCAAAAACACTAAAGAGGTTACGGATCTTTAATGCACTGTTTAGTGTCTGGCAATAGGCGATGACTAATAGGTCTTACTCCATGCTTAAGCCAACGTTTCACCAGGAATATTTCTAATTTCCTTACCTGCAACCACAAAAAACCACAGAATACAGTGAACAATGGTTCAGCATCTCCAATGGTCATGTAGTAATATGAATGCATACGTAGGAAGTAGAGGAACGACGGTCATATTTGGACGTCTACTGTTCTTGGTTATCAAAAACCATAGATGGCTCGAAAAGGAGTTTATTAGGGCTGTTCAAGTTAACTGGAAACTCGTAAAAATCGAACTCAACACTAATCTAAAGGGACGAGACAGTCCAAGCCATGTACACCACATGTGAGATCCCACGTCGGTTGGAGTGTGGATCTAAGCATTCTTTATAAACATTCCCTATCAGACGCGTTTTAAACCTTGAGAGGAAGCTCTTAAAGGGAAAGCCCAAAGAAGACGATATCTGCTAGCAGTGGGTTTGGGCTGTTACACAATAAGTCATGTAGGTTAGCACCGGTACAATATTTCCACAGCCCTCTCAATGAACCCCCCCCCCCCCCCCCCCCCCCCCCCCCCCCCCCCCCCCCCCCCCCCCCCCCCCCCCCCCCCCCCCCCCCCCCCCCCCCCCCCCCCCCCCCCCCCCCCCCCCCCCCCCCCCCCCCCCCCCCCC